AGCATCTCTCCCTCTCTAAGAAACTCTGCATTTTGAGAGCCAAAGTTATGTAGCCAAGATAAAACAACTATGCCTTGAACAAGGAAATAAAGCAAGGCAAGAGAATCTGGAACTAAACTAGTAAAATGAACTTTCTTTATACCTGAACATCAGTGACTTCAGCCCTGTTCCTATTTTAAATGTCCCCCAGACTCTTTCTTCTCTTTAAGCATATGCATAATTCCTGAGTAATTATTAATTTTTTTGTCCCCAAACTTTTTGTTGTTTTTTTTGGGGGGTGGAGGTAAAACCAGTGCCATTACCATGTATATATAATATTTAAGTTCAGAATATATATTTAAAAGTATATATATGATAAAAAGAAAAAAAATATATATTATAAAAAGAAAAAGGCAAACTTGGGAAAAATGAAAAATACAGGGTTCATAGACTGCAATATACTTCATAATAAATCCAAGTTTCTGAATTGGAATATATAAAATGTTCTCAAATGGTTTGCAATGATTGATGTCAACACATTTGTGTAGTAAAAATTTGCTATTATATAGAAGCTGCTCCTTTTAAATTATTTCTCCTTCAGTTACTGCACTGCCATTATTTTAGTGTGTGTGTGCCTATTAGAAATATAGATTCTCATATCACTTTAATGATTAACAAAAATCTCTTTAGCAGTAATTTTGATCAATGGTAAATACAAGCCATTATTGAACTGTAAACTCGTTTTATTTTGCCATAATGCCACTGACAATGAAACTGAAAAGTAAACTAAACGTGCAACCCAAATATTGTTTCCATGAAAGAAAATGGAGTTCTACTGTCTTAACATTAATGGAAATTGGATGTGTGGTTTCTGTGCTTTAGAGGATATTATACTGAAATGGCATATCTGTGTAAACTCCATACATCTCTTGAGAAGAAACTGTAATTCTATATACTAGCTCTTCAAAGTCCAGGGTCCTCAGGAGCATAGCACAGAATTTAAGTAAGTGTGTATTGATACTGCTGTTCTGCTATGGCTACCTGTGTTAGTCAGATTAAAGCTAATTTGCAAATGCTGCAGTCTAACTCTTAATGGTAACTTAAGTATACCTCAAACCCTGTGAACATGTTTGGGACTGTCAGGCTCATATCCACAATTACTATAAACTACCACGAGAGAGTGAAAACAAGAGACGTAATTTTTCATTGTTTTGGAAATCTGTATCTGTGCAAGGTTGACATTTTAGTATTTTATTACTAACTGGAAAAGTTGTAATGATGCCAGTCATACCTCACCATTTATTTTTGGATTACAAAGTTCAGTACCCACAGAATTTGTCTTCTGCTTAGATTCAACTAACCAAATCACATTGCTTTTGCTCTTATTTCTGTCTCTGTTTAGCCAAGTGTTCAATTTTAGTATATACTTGGAAAGTTCAGTGCTCTTTCTAAAGTCATGTGGACTCAAATGAACTTTATATATATTTTAGTAATACACGTTTTGTAGAACTGTATCTGGGTGTTCTCCCCCATCCCATTACTATTGCAGCATGCTTTCTTTTGACAGAATTTAAATCAAAATCTGTATTATTAGGAATACCATTACTTTGCTTGAAGAGCACAGGTTAGTCTGCCCAGTTTGAATGCGAATTGTTTCTTTGTTGTCTTTGAATTTAATAAGTTTACAAACTTCCTTTGATATGTATAAATATTTCATGGGAGATGGACCTTTGGTCCACAGTTTTGGTTTTCCTTCCTACATAGAACAGAAAAGGGAAGGGAGGAGCCAGCCTGCCCTCTTGCTTTCCTCCTTTTATTTATTAACCACAAAAAGCTGCTTGTTGCTTTATCTCTACCTGCTTACCCTGAGAGGGGTTTTGTTATAAATTCTTATTTAACTTGCAATAGCTTTCAGCATAGCTTTTAATGTATGTGCACGGTGAGAGTGCGGAATCTAGTAAATTTACCTTAGATCCATGAGACTGCTTTGTGCCTTTCAACTCTGTATGGGTACCTCCACATGTCCAGTTCACAGGACATATCTAGAATGCTTACTAGGGTTATGATATTTCCAGTAGGGACATTTTCATTAGAGTTGTCAATCGCAACAAAAGCCTTTATCATCTGTCTTCTGATTACAGCAAAGTTCTTAAGGAATCAAGCTGATGCAACAAGCTTATTTAGGGTTTTGTTCTTTATCAGATTATGGGCAACAGCTCTTGTACCCTTTTTATGCCTTCATTTAACTGGGGCTCAGGATAATTAAACAAAGACTCTCTTTCACACCATCCCCAAAGACAGGGCTTTTGAAGACATTTCTGAAGTGTACAAACCCATACTTGGTCATATCACGTGAGATTGTGATAGTGGTGTAAGTAATTTAAAGGCTGCGTAGATCAATACAGCACTCCGTTGCATACCTAGCTGGCAGCTGAAGGCCAAATCCCATCTTCTTCCAAGCAAATACTGAACAGTGTTCGTACTGATGATGTTCTGCTGTGACATTTTGTCAGCATTAAGTAAGCATAAGAAGAATTGTCATCATACTTGCAGACATGTTCTGTTTCTGTCCGGACCTACCTATAAAGACAAGAGGATACCTGCTTACGTCCTTGGGGGGTGAGAACACCCAAGGCAATGTTTTGGTTTGGTGGTAGTCAAGAAACGAGTTTGATCTTACCAGAATATTTTTGAGCTCAAAGAATTTGCTTAATTTCTGATCAGTTCTGCCTCTGAGCCAGAGCAATGCAAGACAGGTGATGAGAGACAACACAGTGGCAATGCTTTATGTGAATAGACAGGGAGAAAGCACATCATTTTCACAATGACAGGAACCTGTCTATTTATGTAGTCATGTTATGCTGACAGCCACCCAACTGCCAGGATTAATGAACAGTGTAGAACATCAGTTGTGAAGATACTTCTTTTCTTTCTTTTCTTCCCCCTGCATCCATATATGGTCACAGAAAAAGTACAATAGATTTTCCAGGGAATGTCAGTCATATGCATGCTTCCCTTCTCTAAAAGTCTGCAAACTTAAGATCTCTGAATGACTTTATGACCTCTGGATTCCTGATCTTTGTGGACTACTGCATACCTGCTTTCTAATTTAAAGAGGGGGAAGATGTACAGATGAGAGACTGCAGCATTCATTGCATCTCTTTGGACTAAAGAATTTTGGTTCTTGAATCTGTTAAGACTGCTGTTATTGGAGATACTACCACTTCTGTGGATGCAGAACATAATGTGCCCAAAGTATGCCAAGACTTCACCTAGATTCAGCGTCTCTGCATTTTCATGCTTCCTCTGGGTCTTTGACTGTTAGACATGTTTGTTTTCCCATTAATAGTGGCTTAAAAGAAAGTTTTGCTAGTGGCATGAAAAGATGAAGAATGAGGAAACTTCAAGCCTCAATAGGAGACGTTCTCCCTGCATGTGTCTGTACACTTTACTTTGCTAAGTCCTTCAGACTTTTGCTAAGATGGTATCTGGCTTTGCCTGAAAGAAAGAGAACTGGCCTCTTCTTTTGCAGCAGCCATCTAAATGAATCTCTGACTCTGTATCACCAGTTGGCCAACCCAGAGCCTTCTGAGCAAACCGTGGTTTGATCCCCTGGCCCTATATAGCTTCTGTGACTAGTTTTAGAGTATCTTTAGTCCTGAGAGCTCTGGAGTAGCCACCTGAGGGTCTCTTCACATGTTCACAAATGGATTTCCTTCGCAAGGCAAATAGACTAGAGATCTTTTGGCAAAAGTCTGCCAAACTGTTCTATCTTTTATAGAACTCTCACTATCTAGGAATCACCTGTAGGACAATCCGTACAGATAGTTGCATCAAGGAAAACAAAAAAGTGTCTTCTTCTGTAATTATGGTTCTTTTTGAGTGTGTTATCCATACACTTCACAATTTATTTTTCTTTGCCACACTTAAAGAATGCTGGACTTTGCATTGGTGAAGAAACCAAGGAACTGTTCTGCTCATGACTTTTGCTTTTGGGAGGAACTTGAGAGCACAGCAGAGAACTCTGCTTGCCTAAGTAATCTTCAATCATGAGCATAAAGAATTTCTCTAAGGAGAATAGAGGATGGTAGAGGCAGACAATGAGAGTTCATTTGATACAGGCCTAAAATTGCATTGGACCAAACTGTTGTGGTTTTTTGCTTGTCATGGTTTGTATGCCAAAAGCTAGTAGCTCATTGCATTTGCAGCAAAAGGTTATGTATGCAACAGTTGGGAGCTTTTTCAAATATTTTCATTTCTGTCCTCCTCATTAGCTACAAAAGGAAATATTTTTCAAAGGTAAGGTGGGATTCTTCTGGGGGTTTCAAAATATTCTAAACTGATGTTGGGGTTCTAGCAGAGAACTAGAATGTAACTGATTTGTTTATCTTCCCCAACCGTCAAACCTCACTTGCTTATGATATGTAAATGCATTTCTGCAAAACTGTTTTCACATGTCACCAGATGTACTTCTCCAGATGTGCTGTGCTGGTACAAAATGTATTATGACATTTTGTTTACATCTGGTGTTTCCTTAAAGCTTTAGTGTTGCTCTATCTGTCATTGATCGTGTGTTGTCTGTAGTTGGCTGATTTCAAGTGAAAATTAGTGTTTAAGTGTGTAAGGAGGCTTTTCTTGAACAGGTACTCCTGTACCTGTGACTTTGTTTTTTTCCTTCTATTTCACATATTTTGCCTAGTTCTTGGTCTTGCACTTTTCTATTTTTGTCACAGTAAGTGGAAAAAAGGAATGCTCAGCTCTAGAGGTGTGTTTCTTAATCCATTTCCTTTCCAACTCTAGTGTTACTGGAAGAGTGGAAGTGAAAGACTGCTTCGGTGTGTGGGAGGTAGCTTTAACTAAGTGAGAGAGAAGACACCTGTGTGTGTACTGGAGCAGCTGGAACCAGGTTATTTGAGAAGTTGCTGGAGGCTGAAGAAAACTTTACTGTCATCCCTTGAGCAAATCCCATGAAAGTATTGAAACAGAAGGCACATGAAAAGCAGTAATGTAGAATAACATACCCTCTTTGTAGAGGGCAAAACTAGGCATGGTCATTTCCAGAGCTACGATGGGTACGGGAGGGAAGCAACTCTCTTCGTCTCCCGCTCCGGTAGGACCATCCTGGGGCGGAGGAGCGCTGGTGCGCAGGGGCGGCCGCAGCCGCGGCCCCGGCCCCTCTTCCCGGGCCGTGCGCTGCCGCCTGCTTCTGCCGTCACTGTCTCCGCCTGGGGACAGCGAGGCCGAGCTTGCAAGAAGGGCAGGCGACGGAGGAAGGTGCGGGGCGGCTCCGGGCCCCGGCTCTGCCGGCGGGCTCGGCGCGGCGGGGCCCGCTGCCGCGGGG